CACCCCTGCGGTCTGCAGCGGCAGAAGACGATGATATAGTAATGGATACTACATATAATGCATCATTTAGTACGGACGAGCTAGAAGGCCTGGCGTGGGATGGCAACTGGCTAAAAGTTGCATTAGACGCGTCTGTTTTTGCATATATAGCCCCTTCTGCTAGCCGTAGCCACTAAAATGTTAATAAATAACAAAACAGTCACTATAGCGACGCCTTTACTTTTACTACAAAGAAGAGGCTAGCTATACTACTTCCTAATCCGGCTAAAAATCTAAGGTTTACTATAGATTCACCTTTAAATAAGGCTATTACAGAGGCATGTGACCTCCTAGTTAAAGCTGCGGCTGCTAAACCAGACCGCCTAAAACAGGACTAAATACTTGATTTAATTGAAATCTTCTGCGAATACCTTGAAAAAGGCTCTATCAAGAAGGTTTCAGCTATTTTAGCTAATAAGATCACGCATATAGAATCCGCTAGTTAAAAGCTAGAAGCCACCGCCCGGCAAATTGCCCCGAAACCGACTACCCGCCTGCAAGTCAACCTGAAAGGGCCTAGCGCAGCCGTCTCAGACCGCCTAAACGGGCCGAAAATCGCTCCCTAGCTGAAAACCACTCAAAATCAGATATATGCAGCCGCAGCTAAGTCCGCTAACCCTGATTCGGACTGGATTTTGGTCAATTCTGCTAAAAAGTCCTTACCGCTAAAGCTAGCCATAAAGAAGCCTCTTACCAGCTGCTGCGTGATCCTAATTAAGGATACTATAGTCTAAAATAACAATTTTCAGCCTCTCACCGCCCGCAATGCTCTAAATAGAGCTTTTGCTAGCAAAGGAGTAAAAGACCCTATAGTGCTTTTAGTGTCTAAGTCCCTTTAGGCCAATCTAGTAGTTATAACCATAGAGGCTTACTCAGCTGACTTCCTACTTGCTAAATCCGATATCTGGATGCATTTAATGCCAGGCTACACCGCCTAGAAAGATGTCACATGGCATAAAATCATTGCCCACGGGATCCCCACTTCTATTTTCAACCGTCCGGAAGGCATAGAGCTAGTTAAGGATGAAATACGGACTTTTAATAAGGGTCTAACCCCTTTGGGACAGCTATACTAGATCATATCAGCCGAAAATCGCCTAAAACAGATAGCTGGATCCGTGGCAATTGCATTTGCTACGCCTGAAGAGGCTAGCGCGGCCGTCCGAAATAGGCTATATATAGCTGGCATTTCTATATGATGCGAAAAACACTATATGATACGTCCTACCGCCTAATGCATCAGGTGCTAGGGCTATAGCCATTTAGAGCACTACTGCTGCAAAGAGGCTAAGTGCTAGCTATATAGTGAAGCCTATTAGATGAAATAACATGTATGCTCTATATGTAATGCTAAGGGTAGGTGTGATCACCTGATATATAAATGCGCTAATTGCAGAGGTCCACATGCGGCTAGCTCCGCTTTATATAAAGTCTATTAGAGCATCCACTTAAAGGCTCCCACGTCCTCTCTATAATAGACGCTAGCACTAAAATCCTCTAAGTGAATCTGAATTCAGCCGCCCATAATACGGAATCCGCGCTACAAGTAGCAATTAAGCTAGATATAGATATTATACTAGTTTAAGAGCCCTTTATTATACGTGATGCAGATGAAATACGATCGATTTCCTACCCCTCATTCACCTAACTCTTCCTAAATAGGCCTAGCCTAGATATTACACCACGCATAATAGCTTATATTACCAGGTTATACCGCCCTAGGGTTGTCCTAGCCTTGGATTCGCTAAATGATTTAGACTTCCAAGCCCTAGACGTTATAGATTAAGATCATATAATTAAGATTTATAATATTTATAATAAAAAGCACTAATTACCTAATTCAGACACCCGTACGCTAGCCTAATGCCTATGGCAGCTCTTACCGCCTCTTGATTCGGTCTTTTGCAGGGACTTTAATGCCTACAACCCATAGTAGGACCCCTTATATAAGGCACGTAATAAAGAAGGTAATATGCTAGCAGACTGGATTGACTACTACGATTTAGCCCTCTTAAATACCCCTGGTATTAGCACCTTCCACCGCCTCCATATATAGAGGCCAACGAATATCAACCTTATGCTAGCGCATTAATCCATAGCTAATCATATTCAGGACTGGGCTATAGTGGATAATATAGGCTTGGACCATTTTAGGATCATATTCACTATTAATAGTTCCTAAATAGGACTAGCGGATCCACAAACCACCCGTTTTAATATAAAACAGGCAGATTAGACCAAATTTGGGGAAAAACTTTTCTGCTAGCTGTCACTGCTCCAAAATAAGCTATAGGCCTATAGCTATATTTTAAGCTCTAATTTAAGCTTAAAAAGCTTAGAACAAATCGATATAAAACGCAGTTACGAAGCAACCCTTAACCGTCTAGATAATATGGCAGAACGTTATACTAGCGCCATTTTATGCGCTGCACACGATGCGATACCCTAAATCCGGTTAGCGCTACATGCTAAGCCTTGGTGGAACGATTTACTAAAATCACTTTAACGCGATATGAATCGGGCTAGAGAGGCCTCTAAGCGAGCGTTTTCTAGCCAATCAAATAAGCGCTATACTAGCGCCTGCAATATATACTTCAAAGCTATTAAAACAGCGAAAAAGGATTACTAGAACCAGTTCTTAGAGAAAGAGGATTCTAAATCGATTTTTAAAGCCCTAGCCTATATGAAGTTAAGGCGGTTAGAACTAGTCCTAAATCTAAAGCTTTCTGCCACCCAATTTGTAACCATATTCACTACTAAATGCGACCTCTTCCGCTAGACGCTTTTCCCTCCACCTCCCGAAACAGCTAGCCCGAATTGGACGTCATACACTGCCTTAGACTAGTGGCAATGGCTAAAGCTAGCACCAGACGAAGTGAAACAAGCCTGTTCTAGTGAAATCAAATCCACTAGCCCCGGCCCGGACTATATTACCTAGACTATTATTACCCACGCATTTTTAGCATGCCCTTCCTAGATTTCACTCCTTTTTGAGACGCTAGTAAACACTAGCTATTATCCGAAGTGCTAGCGCTAAGCGAATTGCGCTATACTACAAAAAAATAACAAACTAGACTATAAGCAGCCTAGCGCCTATCAACCTATTTCACTTCTAAATTGCCTAGGAAAAGTTAGCGAAAGGATCCTAGCTAAGCGACTAGCTTACTTAGCTGAAACCATACTAAATCTATTACATCCTAGCTAAATTAGTGGCCAACTTAAAAAGTCAGCTATAGACGCAGGCGCTATGCTAGCGGATTATGTCTATACAAATCAGCTACGAAATAAAATTACTAGTACGCTTCTACTAGACGTGAAAGGGGCATATAACCACGTGTCTAAGAACCGGCTACTTATAATTCTTAAGGATTTAGCCTTTCCCAATTCGGTTATTGTTGATTATATAATAATAAGCACTAAATATGGTTTAAACCTAATTAGGCTTAGTATGAAGCTAGTCCTAGTTCATACTAGCTAGCTGTGTCGATTTATAATTCAGGCTTCCGACGTTTCCGGCTGACGTAGTCTACCGTACGATTATGACGCATGTCACCGCCTTTGCCACTCTAGCTAGCCATGTGATTTATAAGCATAGAAGCTGCTAGAATAGCATATTCATGTATATAAACGGCCTTTCTCTCTCTAGAAGGTCTTCTAAGTCAAGCTTTTAAATTCAGTTATTATTGCATATATCACTAGTCTTCACGTGATTCATCTTATCACCTACCGAGCCCACCTCCCACTATTTCACATGGTAGCAATGCGATAAGGCTTATATGCTTATATAACCTTATAAGCTTCCGATTCAAAATCGTTAAGTGTTAGTAGCTAATACTAGCTATGTATTCAACTGAAAAAGGTATCCCCAACCCCGCATTTTCACTAATAGAAGAGGAAGCCTGAGGCCTGCGTCCCTGAGACTAAGCGCTAGTGAAAGCATAAGCTAGTGCCTCTAGAAGCTATAACTTGACGTGTCCGTCACCTATAATATAGGTGTTATAGCAATATCTTATACCAAGGTGCCCACACTTTATCGCTATACTAGTGGCCCCGGAAGGCACTTTTATAGGTCAGGTTAAAAGGAGTGGCTGCTTACTCTCTATTGGTTCAAATTATAACGCTAGTAGTAAATAAGCGGGTTCTAAGAAGCCATCCTCAGAGAGGGTGAATTACGCTTATTCACTGCCTAGCATTATAAGAGAAGCTAGTTTTTAGTACTTTTTGCTATATATAGGTGCGGCTATAATAAACCTTAGCCGTAGCTATACTTAGTACTAAGGAATAATCTAGTAAGTAGTATTACTACGCAAATTATAGTCTAAATAGGCTAAATAAGGGAAGGGAACCTACTTTAGCCTAAAAAGGCTAAAAACAAGTGAATTGCATAAGGAAGGCTAAGAAAGCCGCAAATACCTAATTGCAACTTAAGAATCGGCTAAGGAAGAAATAGCTATACTAGACAAAGGACTAGTCCAAATCTGTTGAAAGTTATATATAAGCCAAATAGCAGTACTATAAACCATAAAATAGTATATAAAGCTAGTTTAGCTTATAGCTACCCTTAAATAGCTACTTTTAGCAAGATTCAAAAAAGAAAAATAGCTTTTGCAAACCGAAAGATTATCGGACTTTAATAAAATAAGGCTAAATAAGACGCTAGCATAATAATAAGACTAGTGCATAAGTCTAAATCATTTACGGTTAGAAATAGTAGCTAAAATAAGCTAAAAGAGCTAAAGACTTAGATAGCCGAAATTAGAGCTTAAAAAGTAGCTATAGCATTTTAGCACTATTCACCGCAGTAAATTCACTTGAAAATGGCTGCAATCACCTCTTATAAAGGGGAAGTGCTAGTCGGTAGATCTAATTATATAGAATGGCTAAAGGAGGCTAGTCTGTTTTTGGAAATCCATGGCTTTATGCCTTATATAGACGGTTTAGAGCGTAATCCACTCTCTATAAGATTACTATACTATACTGAATCTGGACCTAGAAGCCCTGAATTAGCTATAAAATATCTAGATAAAGAAACCGAATATAGCCGAAATACTAAGCGAGCCTTAGGCGCTATAAAGTCTACTATAAGCGCTGATAATATAGACAGATTTAAGGATTAGCCTACTGCTGACCTACTTTGGGCTGCAATAAAAGCTACTTTCAGGGAGACTAATTTAGAGACTTTATCACGTTACTTTAATAAGCTAATAGATGCTAGCTATGAGTCTTTTAAAAGCGCAGACGAGTATACTAGCTATATCCAATCCTTGGCTATATACCTAAAAGAGCTAGGCTATGAATTGCCTAAGCCGTTTATAGCTATCTTGCTATTTAAAGGCCTATCTAGCTCTTTTGATGCCTTTAGCTCCTGAAAATACAAAGAAGTGACTAGTAATATAAAAAATATTGATATTACTAAGCTTATTTTGGATATTATAAGCGAAGAAGCTAGATTAGGGTTAGACTCTTCGGCTAATAAAGCCACTAGCAATAAAATGCCTATTTGTAAACATTGTAATAAAAAGGGGCATATAGAAGCTAAATGCTGGATTAAATATCTAGAGCTAAAACAAAATAAAAATAATAAAGCTTCTGAAAAGACTGAATCCACTAAAATAGTTATGATGTTACTAGCCTATAATGGAATAAATGACGAAGAAGCTAATATTAATAAAACTAAATTAGTATTAGATTCTGGCGCTAGTGAGCATTATATATTTAATAAAGACTGGCTATTAAACTATAAGTCTGTTTCTAATAAAAGCATTAGAATAGCAAATGGCTATAGTCTAGCTGTTTTAGGAAAAGGCGATATTCCGGTTAAGGCTAATAATAATGAAATTATTATTAAAAACGTATTTTACGCGCCTAACTTAAAAGCTAATCTAATTAGCACTAAAGAGCTAATTAATAAAAATTGGAATATAATTTTTAAAAGGGATATAGTTGAACTAGATAATAAAAGCATAAAAGTGACCGCTTCTTGGCATAATAATGCTTATTATCTAAATATGCTAGTGGATTTTAATGTATCAGAGCCTATAGTATATTATACTAAATCTGTGAATAATAAATTAGACATATATCATAATAGGCTAAATCACTTAAATAAGGACTTATTACTTAAAACTATAGATAATACGTCCGGATTAAGCCTTGAAGGCGGTGAGACTAAAAGCGATACTATAAGTGACTGCGAACCTTGTATTATAGGCAAATTCCATAATATAAGTAGTAAAAAGCCTATGTCTAGGAGTGGGACTAGCAGGCTATAAATGCGCTAGCCGCCCTTTTATACGACTAGCCCGAAATATAGGTCCGCACCAAATCGTCTATAATGGAGAGCTAGAAGGCATTGCCCTAGCATTCGAAGATGCGACGAGACTAGGCCCAAATAGGGATATTCGGATATACGCAGATAACCAAGTAGCTATTTATAGGCTAGCGCGGCCTTCTAATAATCCAGGCCAAATTCACTAGTTACGCGCTATTATAGCCGCTACTAAAATAGCCTAAAACAGATCCACGCTAGCAATAGAGTAGGTCCCTAGATACTAAGATATTAATAGAAATAAAGAGGCGGATAAACTAGCTAAATTAGAGTCTAAATTACTTCTAACCACCTAGACCGCCCTAGCTACCTATATAAGCTATGCCTATATAGGCATAAAAATTAACTAAATCTAATAGCATGCGTGGGCAAATGCTCTAGCTAGCGGTAAAGGCTACTACTTCAATTTTTTTAACCCACGAATTCACTTTTAAATATAGCTTCCTAAAACGGCTAGATCTACTGCTAGCGCGTTCTTCTAGCTTAAGCTATAATACGGCTACTTTAGGATATACCTAAAACGATTTAATAAAACACCCACTAATTACTATATATATAGTTATAAGCCTAAATCACTATAGCATCTAATACTATAATGTCCTGAATATAGTAAAGAATATAAAAGACTGAAAGATAATATTCCATTTAGGCTTAGCCTATATTCCCTCTTTAAGACGAAAATTAGATGCTAGCATCTACTAACCTTTTTAGGTAAAATAGGTATTAGTACCTACAAATAGCAGCTTAAATAGACAGAATTTAATAATAACTAAGCAATATACTACTTAGAAGTCTTACTACCTACCTCTACTAGCCAAATCTATTAATTTTTCCTAATTTTAGCTTAGAATGCATAAAAGCGTAATTATAGCATAAGAAATAGCTATGCTAGCTAACTGCCTTTACTTTCTACCACTTTTTAATTTACTTTTTAACCACTTTTTATTTTATTAGTTACATGAATTTTAAGGCTTTAGGGGACTTTAGTATAGCGTTTTTGCTTTATAGACCTAGTCCGCATTAGGCTTAGTCCTATAGATTCTAACCGGAAATATATTAATATATCTCTTAACTATATTACTAGCCCGCGCTAGTATTAGGCTAGCACTATCCTATATAGTCTTAGACTTATATAGGACGTTAATGGAATAAATAAATAATAAATAAATAGGCGGTCTAGTTTAGCAGCCGCGGCTTTAACTAGAAGGTCACATGCCTCTATAATAGCCTTATTTAAAGGTAAATCTATAGTAAACCTTGGATTTTTAGCCGGATTAGGAAGCGGTATAGCTGGCCTCTTCTTTATAATAAAGGTAAAAGCATTACTATAGTAACTATTTTATTATTTATTAACATTTTAGTAGCTACGGCTAGTAGAAGGGGCTATATATATAAAAACAGACGCATCTAACACGACTTTTAGCTAGTCGCTATCCTACGCCAGGCCTTCTAGCTCGTCTATACTAAATAATATATTATATATAATATCTATTACTATATTATTATCTTCTGCCGCTATAGACCGCAGGGGTAGGAGGAGGAGAGGGAAGGAGGCAGTCGAGAGGCCTTTAGGGTAGAAAACCCTTTAGAT